GATAAAGCGGTATTAAATCACTACAGAAAAAATAGAATAAATTACAGAAATACAAAACAAGCCAGAAGCGGAAGTGGGAAGGTTTTGGTATTTTGACTGTATTAAACAATTCTTAATTTGCATTAAAATTGTTTTGTTTACGATTGTAAGTTTAGGCGGGAAATTTCCCGCGTAGAAACACGCTTCTCGACCAATCAACGCACGCGTACTATAAATGTTCTATTTTATCATAATTTATGCATTTGGTACGGCTCATGTAAAGCACGGCAGTATAAATCAACATGTGCTTCAGCCGTGTAGCACGCCTGAACCAGGCGAACTTATTAATTTAGCCGTGCTTAATATTAAGTGCAGTACTTAATTGATTTAGACGCCGTGCTTCTCATGTGCTTAATTCATTGTATTAAGTTCGGCTCATGAAAAGCACGGCGTCTAAACCGGGCCTTAGAAAATTGAATAAGTCAAGAATTTGACTATACTCATCACCCAAACGAGGTTTTTCTAATTGCTTTTTCACATAGATATCTTATATGCACTAGATAGCGCATCTCTTTTAGTAAAATTGAAGCCAAGAATATTCCAGCGGTTAACCCCGTTTGGATATATGGCGGTCATGTTGGTCGTTCCCACTAGCTAATAAACGCTTAAAAACAACAATAACTTTCATCATTTGAATAGTTTAAAAACGTATTTGGAATAGGGTTAACTTAATGTTTAAGTTCCATGTTTAAGAAATAGAAAACATACGAATCTTCTCATTTCATGGGAACGACCTGAGACTGCAATCACGGCTTTAATTTTTGAATTGCAGAATAATTAGATCCACTATCTAGTGTATATAAGATATCTATGCTTTTTCACCTGGGTGTATGGCAATGCCAGTTATGCGACCACGAAAAATGCGCGCGGCACTTGTTTTGGATACTGAAGATGGTAACATTTGATGTTGTCATATATTGCCATCCTCTCATCGTAGCATAACTTAACTTATTTTAGTGAGTTTATTAAAGAGTTGTGTTCACTATATGCTTGTATTATCTAAGATTTTTCATAGCATTATATGTTAAATTTAAGTTCTGTTTTCTTTTATTTTTAGGTGATAGTATCTGTTCACTCGTTGCGAGTGTTGGTATCAAATTTTGGACAAGTTTCAATTATTATTTCACATTCCTTTATTCAAATATCCAAATAAATTAGCCTGCGAACAGGCTCTCAAGCTGAATTGAGAGCCTGCATCGATGACTAATAAATTTGAATATCTGCCCCATAACGTTCGTTTTTCAAAATATGGAATGTCTATCCTTATATGGTGTTGTTTACAACTTTCGTGCAAACTAAATTTAGACCGTGCAAACTAAATTTAGACCGTACAGTTTATACTGTTTTTCGAAATATAAGATATTCAAGCAAAAGTTCCAATGTTTTAAATACTGTTTTCTCAAAACAGAACATTTCGTGCTTTGAGATAAGATGGCCAAGACCAATTTGTTTAGTTAATGTGTTTTTATGCATAGTGCTTAGCAGTTGACATATATAGAGCTCAGCGGAAACATATAAATTATAGCATCTGACCAATGAGAATTCACGTCGCGATTTGAGACGCAGATATTCAAATTCATTAGTCATCGATGCAGGCTCTCAATTCAGCTTGAGAGCCTGTTCGCAGGCTACAAATAAATGAAATATGATATCAAGCTTGGAGGACTAGATCCTGTTTTCAAACTTGTTTTTTGTAAAAATAGAGATTTTTTTTATTAAAATTTTTGCCACAAGAACATAGTGCATAAAAGACAGTCACAGTAACTATTTACATATGTTTATGAATCTATATACAAGAGGAATCACTATATTGCGCGCAATTTCCGGTGGTGGCGAGGCGACCTCAAGAAACCATAAGGCTTATAAGAAGAGGTCCCCTCGTGTTATTACTTATGAATATATAGTTGTTGATAGTTTTAATAAGACAAGATAATTATAAGAACAATTATAAGTACAACAATTTACATTTGATAAACGCAGATGTGAAAGATGACCAGTTCAGACAAACTTAATTTAACAGCAGATCATTAAGTCTTTTCTTCAAACATGACAAACTGTTAGATATCTTTACACTAACAGGAAGGGAATTCCAAATTTTTGGACCTTGGTACAACATTGAAAATTGTTTAATGTTGGTTCGACAAAAATGGGTTCTATAATTAGCAGTAGCTCTAGTATTATAATTATGCACCTGGCTGTTTGTTACAAATAAGTTTCAAAAAGACAAAGGCAATAATGCATGATGATAAAAAAACATGAATTTGGCTATGTAAAATGAGCTTACTTTAAAAATATCAAGTATTCGAAGGCGAGCAAATAAGGGAGCTGTATGAGCTAAAAAGTCTGAATTTGTCATCGCTCGCACGACACGTTTTTGCAAAAGAAATATCATACTTAAGTTTGTAATATATAATGCTACGTTACAGTAACTAAGATAAGGGTAGTTTAGTGAATAATATAACGATAACTTAGTTTTAGCAGATAATAAGAAACGAGATTTGAAAATTATTCCAACTGATCTTGCAATTTTGTTACATAATTGACCAATGTGGGATTTCCAATTTAGATTTTCGTCAATATAAACACCCAGAAATTTTGTTGTATCTGCGCGCTCAAGTAGCTGATCATCAAAATAAAGATGTGCATTTCTGGGGGTTTTTTCTGTTTGTGTTTGAAAATAACTTAATTTGATTTCTTTGTGTTTATTGAGAGCTTATTACATTTTATCCAGATGTCAATATTATTTAATTCTTCATTCAAGACATGCACGAGGTGATCAATATCTGCATGAGAATAAAAATACTAGTATCATCAGCAAAGAGGAGTGATTCGGTTACTTTTAAAGCGTTAGCAAGGTCGTTAATGTAAAGAATGAAAAATAAAGGGCCTAAAATAGAATATTGAGGTACACCATATTTAGTAGTTAGCATTGAAGATTGGTTTTCATTAAATTGCACAAACTGTGGGCGTTTGGAAAAATAACTTTTGATCCATTGTAAGGCTGTGCCACGTATCCCGTAATGTTCCAGTTTAGCAAACAAAATATCGTGATTTATAGTGTCAAATGCCTTTGATAAGTCTAAAAATATCCCGGCTGTAATTTCGTTTTTGTCAATAGAAGATACTATTTTATTAATTAACCAGGTGAATTAATGCGTGCGAGGTAGAATGATTTTTTCGAAAGGCAAATTGATGACGATAGAGGATCTCAATACTGCTCCAGAAATTCTATTAAACGATTATGCGATACTTTCTCAAAAAATTTCGCAAAATTTGAAAGAAGTGATATTGGCCTATAATTAGTAAATTTTTCAGGATCTTCCGCTTTATATATGGGGATAATTTTAGCTATTTTCAATTTGTCCGAAAACACTCCTTTGGCAAATCATAGGTTATTGATATCCTTTAATGGTTCCGAAATTAAACTAAAAGAACTCTTTATCACATGCATTGACAAATTGTCATAACCTGGCGCCTTCTGAGATTTAAAATTCTGGCAAATTTCTTCTAGTTCAGCTGCACTAGTGGGTTTCAAAACATTCATGGAATCATTTGTGTTGTCAGTCAAAAATGAAGAAAAGGAAGTATTGGTCATGGGTATTTTATTTGCCAAATTTGGTCCGATGTTGGTAAAATATTTGTAAAATACTAGCAATCACCATTGGATCCGAAGTTAATTTATCATCAATTTTGAAAGACAATGGCAAAGACGATTTTTTTTTTTATTGTTTATAACATCATTTAAGAGATTCCAAGTTGCTTTTAAATCATTTTTTGCATATTCCAATTTTTTTTCATGGTATAAGCGCTTGGGATTTGAATAAGTGTTATAAGCTTCATTAGGATCCTGTTTAGATAGATTATTAGACCGGTCCAGTTTGTTTGTGTTAAAAAAGATTGAAATTTTGATAAGTTTGATTCGCTAAAATTACGCTTTATAGTTTTCTTAGAACGATTGTAGAGTAGGGGACCATTGTAAATATATGCAAATACAGGCAGGTGATCTGAAATGTCGTTAAGAAGAAAACCGTTTAGTATTTTTCTTGTCGGATTATTAGTGAATATATTATCGATTACTGTTGCAGAGTGCGAAGTTAGTCGGGTAGGTTTGGTAATCAGAGGGAAGAACATGTGCGAAAATAGGTTGTCAACGAATTCTTGTGTAAGTGCGTGAGGATTATAATGAAGCAAATCCAAATTGAAATCTCCCATTACATAACATGATTTACAAGTGGTAACAGTGATCGAGTACCAAAGAAAGGTATTGCACTTATTGGGGATTCAATAATCAAAAATGTTAGTCCGGTAAAACTCTCAAAAAGGAAAGTTTATAAATTCACATATCCAGGTAAAACAACTATAGAAATAACTAATGAGCTTGCCAAAATTAATATTAAACCGGACCCGTCTCATGTTGTTATTCACGCAGGGACAAATGATGTCCCTGTTGAATCTATAGACAAATGTGTTGGTAACATGGAAAAACTTATTACAACAGCTAAACAGAAATTCCCTAATTCTAAAATTGGAATTTCTGGACTTACATTGAGACAGGATAGTGATTTAATATCAAAAATAGAAGAAATTAATGAGAAAGTTCAGAGTTTGTCATCTAAGCATGATGTGACATTTATAAGTAATATGTCAATAGATGAGACATATTTGAACTCTAGTGGCCTGCATCTAAATGCAAAGGGGACTGCCATACTAGCTACACATTTTATTAAGTTCCTTAGGGATGGGCAATTCTTAAGTTCACTGCGCCCACAAAAACATTCCCGTCAGGATTTTCCAAAGAACACAATAAACCATCTGGCAGAACTACTAAATGGGATAATGAACGTGAACAAGTAAATTGTCAAGATGTGCCAAGCAATTCTTTATTAGGCATAGATAGTGAAATTAACATAATCGCCAAAAGTAAAGGTTTGAAGATAGCCAACTTAAATGTAAATAGCTTAATGAAACATCTGGATGAAATTCACTTAATCCTTAACAATAACGCCCTTGACATTCTTGCAATTAATGAGTCCAAAATTGATAATCAGATTTCAAATAATGAGATACATATTGATGGTTTTAATATAATTCGTAAAGATCGAAATAGGTTTGGTGGTGGTGTGGTTCTATATGTTCGACAAAACATATCATTCTCAGATAGAATAGATCTAATCCCTGATGAACTTGAGATGGTCTGCATTGAATTAAGTTTACCCTACAATAAATCACTGCTAATAAGCACATGGTATAGACCACCAAATTCTCTTATGAATAAATTTGATTACTGGGCAAGCTTTTTATCAAAATGTGATAATGAAGATAAGGAGCTAATCCTCATAGGAGATCTAAATTGTGATGTCAGTAAAACTATACCTGACCCTCACACATGTAAGTTGCAATTTTTATGTTCTCTGTATCAGATAGACCAACTTATTAAAGAATCTACAAGGCTAACTCCTAAATCAGCTACACTAATTGATTTAATATTAACAAATAGACCAGAAAATATTTCCAGATCAGGTGTGATCATTCACCTGGGAATTTCAGATCACAGCCTTGTCTACGCTGTGAGAAAATTTACACTACCGAAAGGAAGGCAAAAAATTCGTCAGGTTCGTAACTTTAAAAACTTTGTCGAAAATGATTTCACTCGGGATGTGTCTCAATTGTCTTGGGAGATGGTCTATCAGTTTGGAGATCCCAATTTATGTTGGCAAGTCTGGAAATCACTATTATTAGATGCACTTAATAGACATGCCCCTCTGCGCCACAAGCGAATAACGAATAACCCTGTCCCATGGATTAATCCTCAAATTAAAGAACTTATGAGAAAAAGGGACTATCACAAAAAAAAGGCCATAAAATATGATTCGGAGTTACAGTGGGAATTGTATAAAACACTACGTAATGAAGTAAATATAAACATGCGGAAAGCAAAATCTAAGTACTTTTGTGATAAAATCCAGGCAAGCTCTCAGATGGGAGACAGTAAAAGTGGATGGGCTTGGATAAATTCGCTCTTAGGAAGAAA